CATAGGATGTATATCTAGTATAGATACATGGGTGACTATTCAATGTGAAGACAGCATTTGATCTATCGAATGTTCTCCATCGAATCCGGCTACGGAAATGACCATGTATTATGACACGGCCACTATTAGCCAAACGTGTCACACAACGTGTGCTAACACGAGAAAGGAGATAATCATCGAAGGCACTCTCCAATATCATGAACTGGAAGATGAATATTTAGAGGCTAACTCTATAAAACCAGACATGATTCCCGATTTAAAACCATTAAAGAATGTTATGATCAAAGGATGGAAAATTACTATATTATTAACCATTATAAGTATCATAACTACAATCAGTTCTTACGCTTTCGGGGCGGAGGCATTGACCATAGTGTCAAAACCTTTGATATGGTTATGTTTTAAAACTACCGAAATAGGTAGGAAAGTCCTATGGGCTTGTATAAAAGCCATTTTCTAGATTTAGAAAATATACGTAGGTAATAAATTAAATGAGTAGGCGACGAATAGCAGTTGCATCAATTAGTCAACAAACAATTAAAGCTGTAAAGTAGACGAGAAACAATTAGTCCTTATCAAACAAAAGCAACTGTGCCGTAAATAAAACAACAGTTGCAACAATTAGTCCTTATCGATAGGCAGATTAGCCGAGTTATCTCTTAAACATCCGCCAGTGATGTAATATAAAATTCAAATTGTAAAGAAAAAATCTGCTAAAAAATAGTGAAAAAATTTAAAAAGACTTAAGACTAAACGAAAGAAAAAATTGATAAAAAGAAAAAAGATAAACAAAAAATTCACTCTCTAAGATGGACGAGTACGAAGCAGAATTACTCAACATGCAGAATGCTCAACCTCCACCTATGGAGTACCATTTTAGTGAGGCTCAAATGCGCCAAATATATGGTGCCATCAATCTACTTGAGCAGAAACTAGACAAAAAACTAGATACTATCCTAGAAAGTCTAAAACCAGCACGACCTATTTGTGCATTCTGTCCTGATGACAATACGCATGTAACCTATATATGCAAAAAATTCAGCGACCCAATAATGAGGACTAAAAGGCTCAGTGATTTAAAAAAGTGTATCTTATGCTTAAATCCAAAGCATCTAAATCCTTGTTCTCATAAGTGTACCAAGTGTCAGGGTCAACACAATCGGGTATTGTGTAATTCGTTTAAAAGACGAAAACATTAGTCACTGTCACCCGACACCTTAAATACGAAGGATTTCTCATCGCCACGCTTCTAAATTTCTTCTCGACTTCTTTACTATTCTGATCAACATCGCTGCCAATCTTCTCGACTTCTTTACTATTCGGATCAACTTCACTGCCGATCTTTTCGACTCCTTCACTGTTCTACTCAACATCATCGCCGACTTATTCAAATTCGTCACCAATTCACCCAGCTTCTTCATTATCTTGCCCATCTTCGTCAAATATCAACTCAACTTCTTCAACCCTCCTCTACTCTTCGACAACTCATTCAACCTGAAAAAGACATGGAATCCTACAGAAAATTCGCGCTCCTTAACAAGATCAACGTGGCTTGTGACCTTCCCGTAGGGACATTTGAGGAGAGATTCGACGTTTTAGATGAAATGGAAAGACACTATGCACCACACGTTTACGATAGTCATAGTCTTATAAGAAAACTGATAGTTCCGGTAATGATCTCTGAATTCTCAAAACCGAAACTGGACCCCTGGGCCGAAGCCGAAACACTGAAATTCCACAGAAAGATTATGGGAATCACCGCTGGGACTGTATCTGCAATCATCGTGGCCGGAGTGTTCTGGTTCATCAGAAAGTGAGAGAGAACAGCTGCTTCAACAATAGTATAAAATAGTCGTTTGCTTCGCTTTTTTCATTCTTCTTTGCTTT